GGGGGAGGCTGGGAGGCGCGAGCGGCCGGGAGTGCTGGGCGGGGGGGTCTGGGGAAACCGCGCAGGGCGAGAGGAGCCCCTTCCTTTTCTAGACGTTTCTTTTGCCTGGCGATAAAATGCCTCACCCACGTACACGAGCCCTCTGACTCAAAGGTGGTATAGGAGTTGCATCCGGGTGTAACAGCTGCCCTGCGCACAGAGCGCGTTTCCCAAGCTTTAACGTTACCTTTTTGCCTCTTCTTTGTAGGGTAACAAATTCTCAGTGCGTTCCTTACCCGGTTGAATACTGACATGTGTTTAAACAATAAGTTACAGTTGCAACTCAGCTGCTGTCAGAATCAAGCAATGAAAATTACTTGTACTGATCGGTCTGTACTGGTACATAATAAAATCACAGAATGATCAAACGTATTATGTCTAGTTCCTTTTTTTAAAAACAAAGTATTCATATAATCTGAATTTTAACGGTAACATTAATACCAGTAAATGCTTAGCAGTGTCTTTGCTGTATCTGATTGCAATTGGTTTGTTCTTGCTGATCTGTCCTTTGTGAACACCCAAAGACCCCAAGAGGAATCGAGTTTCCCTTGAGAGTGCTGCTGTATAAAGACATGAGATGATTTTAGTTTTGAAAGAGCAGCTTCAAATGGAGTTCTCGTTTTTTGTTGTAAGGATCGGTCCTTTTAGTCTCATTCAGGGGCTGTGAGCTATGTCGTGTCCCTTAAATGAGGGCAGTAAAAAGACACTTACTTTGCTGCTGTTGTTCACTTTTGCTATTGAGTCATAATAAATACTACATCCAATCCAGTTCTAAAGCAGCAATATTTTTGAGTATGTCAACATCAGAGGCGCTGGACATTAAAGGAAGCTATGTTTTAATGATATCTCTAGAATTCTTGATAAATAGGACGTAGTAGTAGCAACAGCTCTGTTTATCTCTCTAATCTTTCAATTGCTAATTATTAAAGATGAAACGGAGAAAGCACTAAAATCCACTGCTGCTCTAGAAGGCTGTATTTTTAGCTGTACTTGTAGATAGCTTTTTATTTTTCCAGATGTTGCTGAACTATATTTATGGCACTCTGAACATACATGAAACAAACAGAATACAGTTGCTACGCTTCAGGAAATCCATAAATAAAGTACATAAAGCTAATGTGTATGTCCAGTTGTCTTTTTAAACTGTCCTAATTACTATGCAATTTTCTTTCATCTTGAGTCACAGTATTCTCATCTGTAGTGCTACTTTGCTCTCAAATAGTGATGAGCTTCTGTAATTGGGAGCTCGAGAACACTTTGTGAGCTGAGCCTTGAGCGTTTGTGAAATGGTGCATTACGGATACTTTACAAAAAGTAAATCTGAATTTAAAAGGCAACAGTTTCATTGTTTTAAGCTCTTCATCTACTGTTGCATGCCTGTAATGTAGCATCTATGGGTTACTTGGCTTTCGCAGGTGTTCCCTCTAACATGGTAATTTCCAGAATGCTCTTCAGTGTTTGAAGTTAATTTTGTAGGTCGGAGCGTAAGGTCCTATGAAATGTTATGGGGGCTGTCTCTTCTCACACAGCTAATACTTGCTTCTGTTTCAGTGATTGCAAATAACGGCTATTAAGAGAACTTTTTATCCATATAGGATAATATTCAAATAATCTTGCACTCCAGAGACGTTAGGCTTCCTTCAACAGGAAATCAGTGCTCTAACTCATATATCTATTTTCAGTGCAGGATATCTTGATTTGAAAAGTTTCTTTAATTTTTTTTTTTTTAATTTCTGAATATAACATCTGGTTTTTAAAGGTGCTATATGAAAGTAGCATGCTTCCAGTGTAAATGCAAATCTGAGTGATTAATTTCAGTTATAGGTATTTATCACAACACTTTTACAATACACAATACAGCCAACAGCCTGACAGTTACTCCTAAAACATAAAGTGACAAAGACTATTTTATTGAAAGCATATTTGTTTGGTTTTTGAGACTGCCACTGAAGGAAGAAAAAGTATGACAAGATTGCCATTTTAGCTGTC